TGACAATCAACACAAATCACACTTGACTGAAGTGACCACTACACAATGTATTCTGAAATTGCTGACATTGGTGTGAATCTCCAGGAATGAGTACAAGGCTATTTTAATTCTGACTGTGGAAAGAAGCAGAGAAGGTCAAATATTGGAAGGGCAGTTACCTCAAAGAGAGAATGAGCTACCGCCTTTGGAGGCACTGAGGGTTTGTTGACAGAAAGCTAGACATACAAACACAGGAGTAATTTAATGTTCTGGCCCTGCACTCTAAGGGGCAAAAATTCACTCATCATGGTGTCACTGCCATGGCTTCAGTCAAAAAGCTGAACGACCTCAATTCGAACAGGTCATGGCGATAGTAACATTGAGCTTTTTAAAAAATCGATTTAAAACACAAAAGTTTGGAAAGTGTGGATACAGCGATAAACAAGAGTTGTCTACGTGGACCTTCCTTTAGCTGGGGCATCCCAAGGTGTATTTTAGGAGCCTGACCTCCACCCTCTTCCTTCACCTAGCATTCTGTTCTGGTCTGTAGGGCCTTACTTCCTCTTACTACAGCTCCATACTCTACTGCAAATCATGACTCACACTTAAATCATAGAGACACTCATCAAAATCCCAAGTTTCACAGCACACAGGAACCCAGTCTTTCAAGAGGGCAGCATTCTTAAGACATTACTGAAGACAGAACACACGACCAGTTCGTTAAAAATTGTGTCAACCCATCCTCAATACATAAAAGCTCAGTGTTTGACACCTTGGGCATGTGGGATGTTACGTGCAAAGTATGCTATTTTTAAAAGTATCACATGGCTCCAAATAAAACCTTACACGCATGCACGTTCCTGTGCATCTGTGTACACAAGACACATCTTAAAAGATTACAAAAATATACAATGCCATGCTAGCAGCGGGACTTTTGGAGATGTTTACTGTTACTGCTGTGGCTTTCTTTGTTTTCCTAGGGAAATTTATGATGTTTTTCACAACCAAGAAAAACAGGAAAAAAGTAAACTTTCGAAGCTGTCTTCTGACTGGTGTGGTTCCAACCTGCTCTCAATCACCCTGCATCAGCCAAGAGGAGCCATGATGACCAGTATACGGAAAATGTCTGCCAGGAACATACAAGGCTATTTGATGAACGTGAGGGACACCATGCCATGCATGATGAATGGGAGGGGGTAAAAGCAGGCTGAGGAGGGGTCCCCAGGGTAGAATCAAAGCAGACAGAGCTCACTGCTGAGCTCATTGATGAGGAGCCTGAGGCCTGGAAAGAAAAGAGGCCTGTATCACTGCCTAGGCATGTCAAGGACCCAAGGTACTTACTAGTAGGGAGTAGCTCACCTTTCTCCCGGAAGTCATACCCATGGGTGATTTTTTTTAAATTAAGCACCTTGGGCGTGTCAGTAACATTTGTAACATCTGACAATACCACCTATAGAAGTATAATTTGGTGGCACAGAACACACAAAATCCAGTATGTGATCACTGAGAAGGAATATTTTAATTTATACACACACTGCCTGGAAGTCCTCTAAAAACCAATTTCAGGAAAAGATTTAAGTTCCAAAACGGTTATGACAAACATAAATTTTAATGTATGACCTAAGAGTTGCATTACTGTATATTAGCAGTTTTGAATTCATTGATTTCTTACAGAAGACAAAAGGGGAGGTTTTGATACAAATGCTTAGGTAACTTCAAAATTCAAGCGGGGCTGACTAAAAAAAAAAAAAAACAAAAAAAAAAAAAAAAAAAAAAAAAACAGAAAGACCCTGCTCTCCCCCATCCAAACACTATCTTTCACATCTAACAGGCTTCAATGCTGGTTGTGTGGGGACTCATTGCTTAGGGAGGTTACAAAAAAAAAATCACTGCATCACAACGTCAGTATCTGCCATTCTGTGGCACAGAGAAAAAGACGGGGGGGGGGAGACCAGAAACAGACATTAAAAAAAAGCATGTTGCCATAATGAAAAGCACAGCTGAAGACTCTCAGGGACCATTTGTTGAGTGAATGCCTGTGAGTCCTTTTACCATCTTCGTCATGAAGACTGGGAACAGCTCAGTGTAAGCACCGCTAACACTTGGGGCTAGCAGATTATTTATGGGGAGGTGTCCTAGGCATTGCTGAATGAGTGACTTCTGTCTGTGGACACCAGTTGCACCCCTGTAGGTGGCCCTTTGCAGGAAGCAAACTCATTCCTGGTTGAAAACGACAAAAACAGATCCCAGGCATGCAGGCATATTCGACTTGGACTCTGATGCCTCCCTTCTTCTGGTAACAACAGTGGCTGTGGTTCTCAACCTGTGGGCCGAGACTCCTTGGAGTCACATATCAGATGCTTACATTGCGATTCATCAGAGTAGCAAAATTACAGTTATGAAGCAACAATGAAAATCATTTCATGGTGGGGGGGGAGGGGAGTCACCACAACATGAGGAACTGTATTAAAGTGTCACAGCTCTAGGAAGGTTGAGGACCACTGGCTGGAGTAGGAGACACACTAGATGGATTAGGGGATGTATTCACAACCTGGACCTCCAGGGACTCTCCCATACGATGAGTGCTTGGTTGAGCAGCTAGTTTTGTTGTACAACTCAGTCAGTCACTCAGCACCAATAGTTTACTGGCCACCCACTCAGCACTAGGAACAGTGCAAGGGAAATCTTGAATTTAGGCCCACTGACTCACATAGGCTGGGTTGCTTTTAGGATTTTACATTTGCCACTGCAGAAGTCATGGCATCACCTTACAAGTCCAGAGAGGTAGGTAGCATGTCCTTGTCAAGAAAGGGGCTTCATGCTTCCAAACGGGTTCTCTAAAATTCTATGCCCTTTTTAGTAACTCTACAGGTTTCTAGTCAACATTTAAAGACAAGGAAGGAAGGAAGGAAGGAAGGAAGGAAGGAAGGAAGGAAGGGAGAAAGGAAGGGAGAAAGGAAGGGAGAAAGAAAGAAAAAAGAAAGAAGCCAGAAGGCCTGAGCTATATTTGGCATCAAAAGGCCATCACTTTTCATGCTCTGGGGTTTTGCAAGCGAGTCATTACTGGAAGCTTATGCCGGACAGTCTCCTTAACTGTCTGACCTTCATGCCCTCCTAACACAATCTCTAATTTTATAATCCTCATAAATTTAAACCCATAACTGACCTTTTCCAAATAAATGTGTTCCACAGAGGGGGAGAAAAGGAGTGAGACCAGAGAATATTTTGTTGGGCAATAAGGCTCAGAAATCGATTCAGGCTCATGAATAGATGCCCGGAACATGCCTGGGTTTCCCAACGATCCTCCCCCCCTCGCCCCCCCCCCCATAAAGCCAAGGCACAGACGGGAGAAGACCGGCAGACGTGTGTGTGTGTGTGTGTGTGTGTGTGTGTCGGTTGATTGGACAACAGAGAACAAAACAGAACACACGCACATGCACGCAGAGAAGAAAAGCATGTTCTCCTGAGAACCAAAATGGCCAAAGAGACTTCCAAGTTTTTTGAGACTGCCCTGGAAAGACTGGCGGGGTGGAGGAAGCACCTCTAAGTCAATAAGGCGGCGACTCGCCTCGCTCTGCAGCGCCTGCTCCGCAGGCTGACAGTGGCGTGCACAAAACCCCTCCTGTGCGGAGCAGCGGAGCAGCGGAAACTCCCAATGAGATTAGTCGGTGTGTGTGTGCAGACATTACTTAGCAATGACTAAAGGGGCTCTCTTCCTGCAGCAGCCAGTGGAAAATTCAAGGAACATTTTTCCCCCTGCAGCAGCAGAATCCCTTTAACCCTCTCCCCAGCCAACTCCAAAAACAACTCGCTCCCCCCCATCCCCAACTGCCCCCACCTCGGGCAGAGGACTGCAGGGAGTTAAAGGCCAGCAAGGGGCTTTCGAGGCGGGGAGGGAGGGGGCCGGCGGGGAAGGGGCGGGGGACCCTCGAACACTACAAAGGAAACTGTAAAAGGCACAAATACATAAACCTGAGAAGCAGCAAACCACAGTTTCTTTGTGAGCCCCTCAGTGAGTCATTTTCAAGATGCTGTCTGCAGCCAGTTTCAAAGCGGAAGCGCACGGCAATTAGTCTTGCCGTTTCCAGACAAGCCAGAAACTCTCCCGACACTCGCTTTTTTTTTTTTTTTCCTTCTAAAAAGCCCCTTTTGCAGTTTCTGAAATAGCCTTTCTTGCTTCCACCCCCACCCGACGCTTAACTGCAGCTTTTCCTCGGGATGATTCGGTTCCGAAAACGTAACAAAACAGAGACCTTTAAAAATTTTTTAGCTCTCGCCCCCAATTCAACCCCCCTCCTAAAAAAAATAATTAAATAAAAAGTTCCAGTAATAGTACAGGCCAGCAGGCAGTTGGAAGTTAAAGAACTGATAACTTCAAGAGCATCTCTTGCCGGGCCCATCTCCCAAATCCGAATCCCGACCAGCAGACTCGGCCGGCTTTTAAATGTCCATTTGACTGGGCGTGCGTCTGGGGCGGTGACCTGGGCGGGGGTCACCTGCCCAGGGAGAGTGGACCCACAGCCCCGGTCCCCACATCCCCACGGCCCATGCCTTCCACCCCCTCTCCATCACTGTGCCCTCTGGATCTGAGCACCCGCGCCTTGCTGCCCATCCTGAAGGGACCCCGACCGCAGCTGGAGGTCAGCGGTAATCCAGCCTCCAGCCACTCAGTCCACTGCGGCCACCATCCCCAGTCCCAGAGCCCCGGCGCCTCGCTCGCCAGCCTGCAGGGGTGCGGAAGCTTGCACGCCCCGTGTCCCCTTCCCCTGGCTTCGCAGCGCAGCCCCCAGGCCGGCGCAAGAGCTCCCGCGGTGGCGGCGGTGCGCAGCATCCTCCCCCTCGGGGACGCACCCCCATCCTCCCCCCCCAGCCACAACCCACCCCACAGAGCCCACCGCCCCACCCCCACCAGCCAAAGAAAAGAAAGAAAAAGAGAGAAAGAGAGAGAGGAAAAAAAAAAAACTACCCCGAAGAAAACTTTGCCAGCGCCGGAGCAACAGGCAAACCGTCCTGCAACCTACCCAGATGTGGGGGAGCGTTTGGGAGTCTTCTTGGGGAGGTTTCTAGGAGGACCCGGGCGAAAGCCCCCGACTTTCCATGCTGACAGGCGTCTGCAGACGGTCTGTTGCTCTTGTAATGAGATCCTGATTTTTCCCCCCTTTTTTTCTTTCTCTCGCTCCTCTTTTTTTTTTTTTTTTTTTTTTTTTTTTCCTCTGCTGTGTGTGAGAGCAGGAAGTTGGAGCAGTCAGGCCGAGCCTGCTCACTTCCTTTACTGCATTATTCCCCAGGCGGTGTGCAGTCTGTGTAAACAGGCTTTTCCGCCCCGCGCCGCGCGCCCGGGCCGCGGCTGTGCGCCGGGGCTGCCCGCCCAGACCCGCGCATCCCCCCGGCGCCGGGCCCCGCGCCCGCCCGCACGCCCCGCGCGCCCCCGCGCCGCGCCCGCCCCGCTTCCTGCTCGGCCACCCCAGGGGAGGAGCCTGGGGACCCGCCGGCAAGGCCGCCGCCCCTCCACACGACAGGCTCCGTCAGCTCCCGTGCACCCGGGTCCCTGAGCTGGCCACCACCCTGGGGTCGTGCCCTGCAGCGTTGGCCTGCAAGGGAGCTGGGCGCGCTGTTCTCTATGCATAGGCATGGCAGAGTTGGGGACAGGAGGAATCGAGAGTGAGGTTCAGGGCTTGGATGCTCTGGGCTATTTTTATTGCAAACCGGGCGAGATTAGGGTGAAAAGATATATATGATGTACACAAAAGGAGATGGCGCTACCTAGAGATGTGGTCGGATAACGTTACTGTGGGGGACTTATTTAACAGCAACAATATAATTAATAATGATATTAGTAATAAATTTGAAGCCAGCTTTAGAGCTAGTGTCCTCTTTGGGAAAAAACTTTTTTTTAAGAGCCACAAACTAGAAGCCAGATTTCTTAAGAAAGAGGCGGGTAGGGCTGGAGAGATGGCTCAACCCTTAAAGGCTAGGCTCACAACCAGAAATAGAAGAAAGAAACGGGTAAAGTGGCTTAACAGGCACCACTTTAGGAGCTCCAGGTGGGTTGAGACTCCAGAAGGGGAGCCCTGTGGTCTCAAGCCTGGACTCCCTGCCCTGGCCAGGATCTGATTGGAGAGTTGGGCAGGGCTCTGAGGCTTCAGGGGAGGGAATGGATCTCTTATTAACAAACCCTTCACACAGTTTCCCAGCCCCAGCCTTCTACTTCAAACTCACAGCCTTCCAGAACCTTCCAGCCTCATGCCCCAGCTCTTTAGGGCTTCAGATCAGTGGGTTTCAAACCTGAACGTTCAGCATTTGGGGGTGTGGGTGGCGTGCACAGTGGCTTGTTAAAATCCTAATTGCCTGGCCTTACCCGGCTTACCTCCTGCCCTGCCCCACGCTGTGTCTGCTGTGATTGTCAGCTCGGGACAACAGAATCACGTTGGGGTGTGGGGTGGGGGATGCTTTGAAAACTAGCCACAGCATGCTGATCGCAAACCAACACAGATCTCCAGGTCAGGAGAACCACATTTTGACATTCTCTCTCTCTCTCTCTCTCTCTCTCTCTCTCTCTCTCTCTCTCTCTCTCTCTCTCTCTCTCTCCAGTATTTGTGATGTCTCTGAAAGATTACTAGTTTATAAGTATCTCCTTACTATGGATTTATGGAAGTAAATACCACCTCCCCCATCTAGTAGTGTCTATCCAAACCGAACGCACTGTTAAACAGGGTCAGCATTTTGCTTAATATGTGTGTGTATAACCTGTTGTTTGGGACCAGGCCCCCCCCCACCCCAGTGCTCTGAGAGGTAAGAAGTAAAACAGAAGGAGGGTGTATGGGAAAGGGGGCCGTTTATCAGACCCTGATTTCCACAGTTAATTTTCCACTGTGGAGATTATCATTTAAAATCCCTAGCTGGCGTCTCCTGTCACTCAGCAGAACTCAGACTGTGTATGCCCCTATACGATCCAGCTGTCCATGTGAACTCATTGAGAATGTAAGCATACCATCCCAACTCAGAAGCACAGGCACTTAGGAACACATGTTGCTTTTTATGTTAGAAAGGATGCTCCTGGGAGAAGCCGGTCTCAAAAGGCTAAATGTTATATGATTCCAACTCTTTCTAGAAAAGGCGCAACTATGGGAGCAGTGAAAAAAGCTATGGTCACCAGGGGTTGGGGACAAGGAGGGAATGGATAGGCAGGACAAGACTTTCAGGGCCAGCCATGAACTGCTCCGTGTGATGCCACAGTGGTGCGTGCATGTAGTCTCACATCCCTCACAACCCACAGGGTATCTTCAGAGCCATCAAGTGAACCGTGGACCTCGGGAGAGGGTGTGCCCGTCTGTGAGTGGCACATCACTGTCTTTGGGAGGATGGCAGGAGTTAGGGACACATTACATTACCTATACAGAAAGATCAGAAAGAAAGTTCTGGAAAGCTGCACAGGTCTCACTAGAGATTTAGCTTGGAGGTAAAGTACTGTCCTAGCATGCACAAAGCACGAGTTCCTCCCTCAGCACGGAATGAATAGATAAATAAGGGAAAGAATTGCAGGTAGATTTAAAAAAAAAAAATCATTGAAGGGGGAAAAGAAATCAAAGCAAGCTATCCTAGAACAGACGAGTAATATTAGACTCGGGGGCTGGTGGCTCTGGGGACGATCCACACGGTAGTTGGCCATCATCGCTCTGGAGAGGCTTCAGTATTTGGGTGTACAGCAGAGCTGAGTGCTTGGGTATGAACAGTCAAATAGGGCATTCCCACTCCGGGAAAGGATTCACTGGAGGGCCCAGTCTCATGCTGCCCTTCTGAACCGTGTGCCTTTGACTAAACTCTCCGGTCTCACTGAGCCTGAACAAGCAACCATTTCCTCAGCTTTTTTTAACAGTGAAAGCCAAATTTACATGAAAACAACATGCATTATGGAGTAGAGTTTTTAAATGTTTGTGGATTTCATTTAAAGACACTTTTAAAGAAGTTTCATAGACTTGTGGGTGGCCTTGTGGGAGCTGGCCTTCCCACTGCTTGTGGTTAGAGGATTTGCTAGGGACGCTGAGAAGCTTGGATTTGGATTGTCTCAGGAGTCCCCTGCCTGTTCCTGTGCAGCTACGGTGAAGACGACTCTCATTTTCCTTTGTAATTATAGTTTGGGGAAAAAAAAAAAAAGCAGCATCTGCCAGGCTTAAGTGGAAGAATTTACTTCTTTTTCTTTTTAATTGTAGCTTTGAAAATAAAGCAATAAAATGTACCTGTTTTAAATGTCTAGTTCAGTCATGCTAAGTGGGTTTGCTTTGTGAGGAAGCTGATCCCCCAGAAGACATTCATCTTGTAAAACTGAAAAGCCATAACCATTAAGAACAACCTTGTCCCCGTCCTTACCCTGCCCCAAGCCTTTGGAAAGACTCCTTCTATTCCTTGCGCCTATGAATTCTTCATGTAAGTGGAATCATGCAATAGTTGTCTCTCCTCGACTGGCTTATTTCTCTTAGCATAATGTCCTTAAGACAGAAGCTGAATACTTTTCCACAATATGTAGACAAATATATGGGCATTGGGTTGCTTCTATCTCTTGGCTACTGGAGATAATAAAAATTTGTTTACTTTTATTATTTTTATGCTGGTAGTTGTCAAGTCCAAGGTCTTGTACATACTAGATAATCTGCTACATCCCAAGCCCAAGAATTCACATTCTTAAATGATTGAAAACAAAATTTTTAAAGGGTAACATTTTGTAACATGTGCACATTACGTGAAATTCAATTTCAGCATCCATAAAGTTTTATTGGGACATAGATATGCTTACTCACTTATTTACTGTCTAACATTGTGTTAGTTCTACAATGGAATGGATTAAAAGTAGTGACAGAGACCATATGGTCTGTTCAAATGGAAATATTTCCCTTTTGGTTCTTTACAGGAAACGTTTGTCTACCCCTGGTCTAGCCAACACAATTATGTATCCTTTTCGATCATTTAATTAAAGAATAAACGTCTGTTTCATTTTGGTGTGCTTTAGGTTTGCTTTTTGAATTTTGCTACAGGTTCTGGTTACACCACCAAGGCTTACCTCAGATTTCTGGTCCTCTGGCATATACCACCATGCTTACAAGGGCTTGACTTTTAACCCACTTTCTTCCTCATCCTAAGGAGGATGTGTCAGATGAATATCTCAACATCCTTAACAACCTTCACATCCAAGAATTTTATCTTCAAAGTAAACTGTGCCTCATCTAATTTATCTTATTTCTGAAGAGGTGAAAGACTGTTGGCTGTTGCCATCACAGCCCTGAGATGCCCCCTCAAGACTATTCAATCTCTGAACAGACCTGAGCCTCCTGATACTTTCACATCATAGCTGCTTGCAGGGAGCCTCACCCCTGGGAGGCTGATGTCAAACTCAGGAATCTGTATTCCTCCAAACTCCACCCAGACCACCTTTGTCCTTGAAAAGCAAATGTCTTGCCCACCCCTTACTCACTTCACATCTGGCCTCCTCCAAGCAGCCTTCCGAGAGCAACCAGATAAACCACCTCTCTCCTTGCCCAAGTACACTATTGTGTTTGAACTTGGTGGGGGACCAATTGAACAATTTGTTCCTACCAATCAAATTCTTCAGTTGAGTGATTTGTCTCTGCCCTGTGCATGTCAGATCCTTAGAGAGGGAAATTTGACCTTTGTGCTCCATCACATCTGGGAAATTGCTGGAAAGGCTTCCGTTCACACTCTGCTGCCGGTCATACTGTGTGATGCAGCTGGGGTCTACCATGCACTCTGGTTCATGGGATATGTGTAGCCATACTTGGCCTTTCACACTCATATTGCCTGTAATGGTCTGAGCTTCCGGCTTGCTGCAGCGTCTCCATCTGAGAACCCAGACCAGCCAATCCCAACTTTGCTGTGCTTGTGTGTCTGTCATTTCTTCATTCTCCTCCTGCTCTTAGTCAGGGTCCCAGGACCATGCAAAGAGCGGCGGGAGGTGTTGGGGTGAAATAATGGCATGTCCTCTTAGAAACTGTCAGTGAATGACCTTGGAGGATGAAACTAGACAATATGACACCCCGGCCCTTGCTTGAATAAGCACCATGGGTACTCATGGAGCAAAGGCATCATTATTGGGGACTCTGTGTAGTAGCCACACTTTAAATAGTTCATGCAATAGATGAATTCCATTGATACTTGCTTTGCTTTAACCAAGGAGCAAAGAGTTTTAAACTAAAGGTCACACAGTTAATGAATAATGGGCTTGGAATTAAAACCCAGAGGTTTTGTTTCTTTACCTAAATCTTTTTTTTTTTTTTTTCTTTTTTGTCATTTTGTACTACATTACAACAGAGGACATAAACAAACACACAATCAAGCCCAGGGACAGAAACTGCAAACCCAGTGCTCTGATTCCAGCACTAACTTCTATGTC